CTGTCGCACTAATAATCCAAATTAAAACAGCGAAACTCCTTTATACCCCTAAGCATCTTCCTAATGGAACAAATAGTTCCGAGGATTCTGTTCTCGGTAAACGTCCGCCCCCTGAAGATCTGCATCCTCGTCCTTGAATCTCTGCTCAGTAACGTAGAACATGTAGAATCGAATAAACACGGCATCTCGTAGAACGTAGACCAAAGACACAAATTAATCCTCGAGATCCTACGCAAACGTCTTCACCTTTGACTAATTTCATTCTCGTGTAATGGTTTAAACGTATCGTTAGATGCAATTAACCATCGTTCAATTTTCCTAAGATAGGGCCCTCAACATTTACAAATTTCTCTAGGAACCTTTTTACCAGCGTTAGACATCAATCGAGGGGGTTAAAGTCACACTGGTGCAAGTGACGTCTCCAAAACTTTGGATCTAAGTGCTAAAATGCACCCTACACGTGCAAAAAATTGCCAATAATTGGGACAAGCTTTCCAGTAACGTCGAATACAGATACACTACCAAATTTCGTGCTGTGCAATTTACTTTGTCATTTCCAGTAACATCCTCCGTTTCCCAGAATAAGGAAATCGAACCGATCGATCAACGAGTCTCTCGAAAACTCTAAAAATTCAGAATTCTGTCACCTGTTTTATTCTCTCCCGCCGCTGCACTGCTCGCCCGAAAAATACTCGCCAAGGAAACACCGTGTATCGTTCACGGACATCAAATCGTTGCATCCGGCGATAGGTGGTCTCTCCTTAAGGATAAAAATCACGGTTTTTTTTTCACCGGCGAACGTTACCAGACGTGCAATTAAAATCAACAGCCAGGTGCACGGTAGCTCGATAATTATTGTTATTATTTCTGCACGCTGCAAACCGGACAGGGATTTTGCAACATAGTCGCATAGAGGCGGTTGCCCAGGTCGATTCGTTTATTCGGGCCAGAGGTCACGTGCCGGCCGTTCCCCGGAGGACGAGGACTTCCTTCTACGAACATTCTCTTCCCTCCACCCTCCTTCTCTTCCTCTTCGTCGTTGCTTTTGCAAGGCTCTCGCGGTCTTGAACTTTGTCTCCTTTCTATCGTGCGGTTCATCGCGGCCGATGCATGTGTATCGTGCAATTAAACGGTTGGAAAATAAAGGGTTAAAGCCTGCCCGTTAGGCTTCCATGCTCGCGGCTATAACTAGGCGCGCCGCACACTGTTCGCTGTGTGTCGTGTATCGTGGGTGGGAAGAGACGACGTAGCCGGACGATGATTGAAGGATATGAAACGTGTAATGTACTCTGTCTTCGCTGGTAGCTCGAAGCTTGGCGTCGGATCGAAGATTGCGCGCGCTTGAAACCCCGGACGAACGGACGTTTTTCTTTCTCCTCCGGGTCGCCACCGTTGCTTCTTTTCTTTTCTCCCGCGCCTCTTTCGTCGACGTCGCGACGACCGGCAGCGGGTGGTCGACGCCGCTCGTTAACCTCTTAACACGCGGATTTTTCTTGCCTCCCGCGCGTGTTTTTCCTTCCGACGTCCGCTCAAAGTGGCGGACGAGCGAATTTCGCAGGTCGAACGGGGTTTTTCTTTCGGTGTGCGAAGGGGGAGCGAGAGAGGGAATTTTTATTCGACGATATAATGAAAAACAGGGGGAAAAGGAGGGGTAGGTGGGTATATTTGAATTTCAATTTGATGAACTTCGGGTAGAAAATAAATTGCCCGCGTGCGATATGAGAACTTCTTCAAAGGCTCTGTGTGTATATACATATATGTACACACAGGCACGCGGACAGGCCTTTTTTATCCAGCGTGAAAATAGAACGAGGAATTTTTCAACGCGAGAGAGGATCGATAGGCCGAGTCAGTTTTCTATAATTAAATGCCGTGTCGTAATTAGCTCTCGCCCCGTGTCGCTTTGAATTTTCGTACGGCGTTAAACGTATTAAAGGGTGCGGAGGGGCAGGCAGAGGGGAAAGTTGCGAATTTAATTTGAGGGCACAAAAGGCCGGAACGGTAAAAACCGAGATTGTTGGAGAAACCTCAACGCGTGTGTGTGTCCCAAAGGGACTGTTTGTGACGTGGCCGCCCCCGTTAATTTCACCTTCGTTGATTTTTCTTGTTTGAACGCCGCCCCGACAACGTGTCTCAGGATTTTATAACGCGACGTTAGGAAAAATAGAAGCATCCCTCTTTACCACATTTCACCGGTTTTGCAACAACGTTGTCCTTCTTATCCTCGTCGAACTCTTTGCCCGTGCGAATGTTACGCAGAAGGAAAGGAGAAACTGGTTTGGAAGAAGATGTTAATTGTGAATCGAAGGTGACGAGAGGGAACTCTCTATCACGTTCGATCCGCGCTTCTTGCGAACTCGATTTCGCTGAACAGACGCCTCTTTGAAGCGACATTAGCATAGCCAGTGTGTGTTTAAAATAGAACGAAGTGCGGACGGGAAGAAAGATGGAAAGAGCGCGCGGGAGCACAACGAGCGAGCACACTTGAGGGGAAGAAGCGTACAAAGCGTAAAGACGTAACGAGTGAGAGATAACATATTTCAGGCGTCCCAGCGAAAGAGGAAGAACGAGAGATGGTGCGAGCGGTTTCTGAGTTTAACTTGGCGCGATTACGTGATCGAATCGCGAGGGGGAGAGGAATAATCGAGGAATTTCCGCGAAGAAGATGGAACTTTGATTCGCGCGCCTTCAGCTGCTCGCTGATTTCAAACTGTCTCGTGAAACGCGGCAAATGTGTAATTACAATTAAGCGATGTATTAATCCGCGGAGAAGAATGGGGAGTAGGGGAGTACGAAGATTTTTAGTAGGTTCATTCCTCTACATTGTAGTAGAGAATCAGAAAACTTTTTGTTGCAGGATTGAGAACCCTCTTAACCACTTACAGTGGTCGAAAAAAGTATTCATACACCCTATAAAATGGAATAACTTTTTTAAAATTGGGCCAAACGACTTGACTTTTTTTGAGAAGTTAGAAAGATTAGTTTACCAGATGATGTGTAAAAACTGCAATTAGTCGGAATCGCGAAGAAAATAGCGAAAGTCGTTTTTACAACTTTTTTTATCTAAGCTCGTAATGAAAATTTAAAAAATACGTTTTGTAGATCTATGTCAATTATACGTACGCTGAAAATTTCATCGAAATCGGTGAATGGAGAAACAAGCGACAGGCATCGAAAGATGTAAGAATCTGCAGATTTATTACTGTTCTAGGCCGAAAGTCGTAAAATAGTGCGATTTTCACAATCTTTAACCGTTTGTAGCTCATAGCAACGTTAACCGATTTCGATGAAATTTTCAGCGTGTGTATAATTGACATAGATCTACAAAACGTATTTTTGAAATTTTCATTACGAGCTCAGATAAAAAAGTTGTGAAAACGGCCTTCGCTATTTTCTTCACGATTCCGACTAATTGCAGTTTTTTTCGAAAATCTTTTGACACGTCATCTAGTAAACCAACCTTTCTAACTTCTCAAAAAAACTCAAGTCGTTTGGCCCAATTATAAAAAAGTTATTCCATTTT